TGAGGGCCAAAGGGAAAGTTGTAGATAAAAGTCTTCAATGAAAGAGAGGGATGAAGAAAACTGAGCTGGAAATATTTAGGCATTTGGAACATATGGGAATGTCTTCCTCTGTTGGGGATAATCACAACTTAAAAAAATCTTTCTTACCTGACTGTTAAGACCCAAAGTGGAATTCTGTGATTCTAGTATAATCAAGCCATCAAAAGCAAACTAGCAAGTAATCAGATTAAAGGTGGCCTTTGAGCTGATTAGTTGTTTAGGGAGGGTTGAAGTAATTCATGGATGTCTAGTAACATGCATTAAATGAAGTTTAAGAAAGGAAATGCTTTATAAAGATATAGGTCTATTTCATTATATATAATTTTTTCCTTAAGAAAGTTGATTGTAAAGTGATTATCAGTACATTGAATAATTGTTCAGATTTATCATGATAACATTGGTGTGCATTTCTATTAAAGAAAAACAAAATATCTTTGAAACATAATAATTTAAAGAAAAACCTATACTTGTGTGAAGAATATTGCTCAACAAGTATTATCTAAATGTAAAATACTTAAAGTAAGGGTTTTATATTGTAACTATAGCTAACCCTTAAAGAGAAATGACAGTTTACCTAAATAGTACATAGTGAGCCTATGTCTTCTTTTCTATTTTGCGCTGTTCCTAAACTAGAGTGGAAAAACATCCAAGTCTGGTAGTCCAGAACTTTTTCCCTCTTATGGAAATTGTTAGTTACAGAAATGAGCTAATGGATCAACGTTTAAGGATGAAGGATATAAAAAGAAAAACAAAGTAAGTGAAAATCAGAAAGTTCATGAGAAAATAGACTTGAATCTATGGATTAAGGAAACTAGAAAACCCAGAAAATAAACCTGCTGCTAATATTTAGCAAATCTTTTCTTAGTTTTTATTTTTGGCATTTCCTTAAGGTACTGAAGAGAATTAAACATTACAATTATAAAATAGGATTAAAACATCAATTTCAAAAAAAGACATTCCTTAGTATTTCTTAGCTTTCCTAACTCAGGAGCAAAAGCCTGTAAGGTTTTTGAGCAGTTGTCCACAGTCACTAATTATAGAATAGACTATAACTACAACCTTATCTGTGAGATTTAATGAGCCAATAATTTTCTTAGTATGAATTCAATTTTAGAGTACTTATTATTATAAGTATGGATCTTTGTTGAAAGATCCACACGTATACTATTTATCTCTACATATATTTGCTTTGTATTGCCTTATTTTTTGTATAACTTTAACTACTATTTTTGTAGATGTCATTATATATCAACATAACTTACTTTTTCTTTTATATTTTAAGTTAGAAAATTAATTTTCCTCTTTTTATAAGTGATAAAACTAAAAGAAAAAAAAGTCATGAAAAGGGAAACAGAAATGTCCACAAAATTTAATAATATGATTCTTAATATTTTTTCCGTTCTGACTACTTAAAATAATATTGTTTGTTTTTCCATTATTTATGGGTTTTTCCAATTATAGTATCTGGCCTTAAAAGTTGTAATACAAAATCTTCTGTCTGAAAAGTAGTATAACTGAATGAAGTTTAAAAACCATGCAAATGTATCACTTAGCATTCTTATAATAAAATGTTATTATGGTGTTACCAGGGTCAGACCAGATGAAAGAAAAAACTAACATGCGTGACTTCTGAGACCTGTAACCTGGGAAATCAGAAACAAGAGACTATAATTCTTATTTCAAATTTATATTTCATAAAAGCCTTTTTAATATGGTATTGTTTATCTTAGGTCTTATGTATTTTGATAAAACATTTCAAGTTCACCCTTTTAAATATCCTAAGGCACTTTAAATGGCTAGGATCAATGGGAGAACAAATATATTTATTCTCTTGGTGTGTTTCTGAAAGTGGATGGCTTGGAAAAAGGCTTGTGTAGTTAGTGGTTAGGAATATGTATTCTGTTGCCAAAGAGCATGGGTTCTGATTCTGACTCTACTACTTCGAGCTGTGAACTTACACTTATTGTAAATCATTTAACTTTTTGGTGCTTCAGTTTCCTCATGTTTCAAATGGAGATGATTATGATATCTAATTAATCAAGTTGCTAAAATAAATCATTTTATAGTTCTTGAAATATAGGAAAAAAGTTAGCACTACGTGTTATTATTATGGCTAATCTCCTCCCCAAAAATATGTCTGACTAATCACTATAAATTTTGAACTCCTTAATTTATTTTTTGAAATACATAATTTTGTATAAAGTAGCTTATTCTTGAGCATGTCTGAAAAGAGACAGCAGAATATTCACATATTTATTTGATAAATGAAGCTAATGCTTACCATAGAGATTTGTGAAATATTTGATCAGAGTAAGACAGCTTCCTTTGGGGAAGGAATCTTCTAAGTATCTTGCCACACAGGCCTGGCCAGTGTGGCTCATTTGGTTGGTTGAGTGCATCCCATGCACAGGGGCTGCCAGTTTGATTCCCAGTCAGGGTACATGCCTGGGTTTCAGGCTCGGTTTCACAGTAGGGGGCATGCAGGAAGAAGCTGATCAATGTCTTTCTCTTATGGATGTTTCTATCTCTCTTTCCCTCCTCCTTCCACCTGCTGAAATCAATAAAAATATTTAAAATTTTTTAAAAATATGTTGCCTGGTGTCTAAGTCCTATACATGGAATATTAATAAAAATAGTGGAACTAGAAAAAAAAAAGTATATACAAAATGTACATAGAGAGATTTTTTTCCTTATGGTAGTAAGATGCTGTAGCAGCTCCAGCCTCCCAACTTCCCAGACTTAAATCCAAGAGGAACAAAGACCCAGAAAAACTCACGTTGTATCTCACTGACCCCAGTTGGGTCATATGCCCATCCCTGCAGTCATCATGCTATCTATCCAGGGCAAAGCCATGCTTTGTGCTTTGGTGGCTTTCCCTAAGCAAAATGCCCCACCCTTGGAAATAGGAGGAATATATACATACACATACTGATGTCAAAATGTTACTCTCTAAGAATTGGAGCACTAGAAATATGACAGATATTTGACTGGAGTTCACTCATTTGCTTTTGTTAATTAGCATCAGTGCCCCCTTATTCTAGTAATAGTACCCCAACTCTGCTTTTGACAAATGTTTCTATACCATCATCACCTGACTGTCCATAGGTTTCCAGTGAGGTTTCTTCCTGTTTCTAAGGGTGGGCATTTGGCTTAGGGAAAGCCACTAAAGCACAAAGCATGGCTTCGCCCTGGATAGCATGATGACTGCAGGAATGGGCATGTGACCCAACTGGAGTCAGCGAGATACAACATGAGTTTTTCTAGGTCTTTGTTCCTCTTGGATTTAAGTCTGGGAAGTTGAAAGGCTGGGGATGCTACAGCATCTTATTACAATAAGGAACAAATCTCTAGAAAAGCTATCACCATAGAAGCCAAAGCCAAAGGATACAGCATGACTAGGTGCAGGTAACATTAGTTGAGCTCCCAAATCATGCCAAGCCTAAAGCTACTTGGAGACAGTAAACCTTGAACTGATGAACTCCCTTCTCTCCTTCCTTCCTTTCTTCTCTCCTTCTCTCCTTCTTTTCTCCTTCCTTCCTTCCTTCCTTCCTTCCTTCCTTCCTTCCTTCCTTCCTTCCTTCCTTCCTTCCTTCTTTCCTTTCTTCCTCCTTTATTCCTCCTTGATTTCTTGCTCCCTTTCTCTTAAGCCAATTTAAATCATTCTTTTGTCTCTTATAACCAAAACAGACTAGTACAGTGACTAAAAATTCTTTGGGGCTATATCTTCTCTTTGCTTGTTTCCAATAAATATATTCTCAATTAAAATAGTTAAGCTAGAAAATGGGCAAAATATACCACTTTAATAATCATAACCTTTTCTGATTATACAATAATAGGTGTTACTGTTTTATTTTATTTTAGGCTTTGTTTGCATGTGCAGGTGTTAGTTTTTAAGACTGAATTAAGTTCACAGACTTTTGGTGGCAGATTTAGAGTTTGAATTCTGCCTGTGTAATCTTTTAAAAAAATTATATTTCATTGATTTTTTTTTTTTTTTTTTTTTTTTTTTAGAGATGAATAGAGAGTTAGAAACATCAATGAGAGAGAAACATCGACCAGCTGCCTCCTACACACCCCCTACCGGGGATGTGCCTGCAATCAAGGTACACGCCCTTGACCGGAATCGAACCCGGGACCGTTCAGTCCACAGGCCTATGCTCTATCCACTGAGCCAAACCAGTTTCGGCTGCCTGTGTGATTTTAGGTGACTTTTTCCTAACCTCAGTGTGCTTTTTGTCTTCAGTTTTCAAATAAAGGCCATGAAAGTGTTTATCTCGCAGGGTTGTGGGGAGGATGAAATGAAATAGTACATGCAGATGTCTTATCCCAGTCAGTGACTGGCACATAGTAAGGCCTCAAATCTTAGCTCTGTTATTAGTTGAAAGACTGGCACTTAGGATCCCACTAGCTGTTCAGTTTTCTTCTGGTTGCGTTTCAGTCATTTAAATCAGGGATAAAATAAAATTGGTATCTGATCAGGTTAATTTTTATTTCTAGAGATAGCTAACTAGTATAACACAAAGGCAATATCTTTGTTGAATTAGCAAAGCATTTTATTGGATTTCAGATACTCTGGGGCTGCGCCTAATGTTAAATCGCACTGTATATCAGACTTCCATTAATGTAATTGCTGTTTTATGAGCTTTTATTTTTATCCCTAAGTTATTTACTTTCATTTTACTTTTAATTTGAATTATTCGTATTGATTAAATGATTTCTGGCTTGGCAAATAAAAGCACAAACAGAAGCATTATTAGTTAACAAAATTAATAATTGAAGATCAGACTTCCATTACTGAAAGCTTTGGGCTGCTTCAAACACATGCCTGTGTGTACACCCTGAGGAGTTTCTCTCCACTGTTGCCCCGCCCTCTAGTGGTCGTTACAAGAATGCCATTTTGTAGTCCCCTGCACAGGAAATGCCTGTTCTTACTTCAGTTACCACAATCCTTTTACAGGAAGTTAGGTGTGGTCTTTGAAGGAGAATTAAAAAAAAAAAAAAAAAAAGAAAAAATGAAAAAAAGCATGATGGAATTTTATCTGCAGTCTTCTTGATGCCAGTTTATCAATCCTAAAATCTGAGTATAAAAGATTCTGCAGGGGTAATGTTTTCATATTCTTATTATGCTTGTTCTCTGTGATGCTTCTGTACCTTTACAGTAGAATCCTTGGGGGAATCAGCAGAGGACCACTTTCATTCTGAACCTGCTGACTGCATGTGTTAGCATGTCTCCTTTATTAGAACGTCCAGGCATGGCAATTCCCTGCTTGCATACTCCGGGGAGGGACTGCCGTGCCTGTCTCCAGGCAAAGGGGTCCCTGGGGCTGGGTGAGGGAAGTGAGGGGTGTTTGGAGGCACTGTGCTACTGAAGGCAGTCTGCAAGCTGGTGGCTGAAAGGTCCTACCTACTCTACTTCAAAAACAAATGTGGAGACGGTACTGTAGCTTATGTTATTTTTAATGTCTCTGTTTTATCTGGCGTATGATACAGAAATTACCCAGGCGTTAATGAATTTTACTCTTAGAAAATGCACTTCATAATTAAATGGCAGTTCTCATTCCGGTAGAGTGGGGTTAAAATGGATTGGCATTTTTTTAAAAAAAAGAAGGGAGACTAGATAAATGACTGAATACATTGATGACAGTCCGGTGTCAAGATTTTGGTCGTATTATTTTAAAAAGCATAGACACTCCTGCCACTGACTGAGAGATCGCATTCGGCGTGATTGGTGTGCTCTGTTGGGTTATATATGTTAATCCAGTAAAATGTGATTGGAATACAGTAAAACTTCATGTATGGTATTGCAAAGACCAGCCGAATAGGAGTTGGCTTAAAGGATAAACTATCTTCAACTTATGGTTGTTTTGTTTTTTTTTCAAGTCCAAAGCTGCTATGTACATTTTATGAAATGGGCACTCTTTGAGAAAATGGGCTGTCTCCACAGTATTTTCTAAGGCACTGTAAATTGGTTCACTTAGGAAGCAATTACACTGGCTAACAGCAGGTTGCTAAGCCGGGGGTCCTAGCTGCAGACCTCTGACGCGGGTGACTTCCTGCCCAGTTTGGCAGGAGCCGGATCCCTTCCTGTGCAGCTTCCGAGCAGCTCCAAACGCCACCAGGCACCCCCTGCTCCTCCCTGCTCCCTTGCTTTCAAGCAGCATCCACCTCTGTGCCCACAGCCTGGCATTTCGGGATTCCCAGAGCTTTTTACCAGGTGCGTGGATTTTTGAATAAGCTCTCAGGGGCTCAGGGGTGGAAAAAGTAGGCCAAAGGGAGCATAGGAAAAAAAAAATGGAGAGAATCGTGCATGATCCCTGGAACAGCCCAGCTTCGACAGTTTTAGGTGATGATTCATCTCTTGTTTTGGATCTCTGACATTTTTTCAGAAAGGATTAAAAAAAAAAAAGAAAGAAAGAAAAAGATGGCTGCCAAATTATTCACACAAGTGAAACAGCAAGCACAAACCAGTATCCTCCATTTCTGAATTCTGAATTGGATAGTTCCACTTAAAACATTTTGGAAGAGAGAGGTAAGATTACCTCATAGGCATCTACAGAATATGGAAGATAGATCTCCATGCAAGCAAGTGAATACATGCAGAGAATTCCCTGGGTGCCAAATACAGCTGCCTTAGTAAAATATTGTGACATCTAGCTTGATTTGTATATTTTGTGTCAATATCATGCAATTGCCAGTCACCTTTTTCCCTAATGGCCATTGTTTTCTCTTTGTGTGTGCGTCTGTCTCTTGTTTCCATAGCACTTTCTTATGCAAGGAGCTAAACAGTGACTAAAGCAGGATGAGAAGATGGCACAGTCGGTGCTGGTACCGCCAGGACCTGACAGCTTCCGCTTCTTTACCAGGGAATCCCTTGCTGCTATTGAACAACGCATCGCAGAAGAGAAAGCTAAGAGGCCCAAGCAGGAGCACAAGGATGAGGATGATGAAAATGGCCCAAGGCCAAATAGTGACTTGGAAGCAGGAAAAAACCTCCCGTTTATTTATGGAGACATCCCTCCAGGGATGGTGTCAGAGCCCCTGGAGGACCTGGACCCGTACTACATCAATAAGAAAGTGAGTTCTGGGCCAAGTGAGTTCCCTTGGCCTCACCTGCTTCCTCATCGGTTCTGGGCTATGGCCAGGGGTGTCCGGGAAAGAGCACTGGGCCTCTTCCTCGCTGGGTCAGCCAGCCGGAGGATGCTGGGTGGGCCTGAGCATGGAATGGCCACATTATCCTGTAAGTGTTTTGGAAGCTCTGGTTTGAACCTACGTTCTCAGAGCAGGCAGAGAACTAAAGAGACGTTCTGCAGAGTGGGAACTGAGGAAGGCCAAAGTGCGGTGAAGCAAAAAAGTGAACAGGAGTCATTGTTTCATATGCATGTTTTATACAGGTGGGGCAAAAGTAGGTTCATGGTTGCTCCTATAGAAAATAATACAACAATTAATAAATGATAATAGAAGAATAAACTTTGTGTTTGGTGTACTCACAGCTGTAAACCTACTTTTGCCCCACCCTGCATCTCCAGGAGTAGTGCCTAAGTGCCTCTTTATGATATTAAGCTCTATTGAAGGTACTTGGCTTTTCAGCAAATTGACACCTTCATGCCACAGACTGCCCTTTCCAAGTGCCCCAAAACGGATGTTATCCAAAAATGAACTTGAAAAACCCTGAAGTTCTTGTGAATTCTCTCTCTTTTTTTAATGAAGAAGTAAACACAGCTTCCTTTCATGTTTTTCATGAATTATAATTACAGTTTAAAAATACTGGTATCAAAACTTAATAATGATGCTAAGACTTCCTCTGGCATTGACTACAATTTTTTTCCCTTTAAATCCTCATGTCACGTATTGATTTATGAGAATTTACAGTGCACAGGAAGAAAAAAGCATCTGTTGTGATGTCATATGTTGGTAATTAGCATGTTACTACATTATTCTGTAAGGCTATGTTCCTAGAGAACGGTCTCACCTTTCTCTTCAAATGTCCTGGATGTATATTCTAAATCCTGTTTTGTGTTTTGTTTTTTTTCTTTTTCAGACATTTATAGTATTGAATAAAGGGAAAGCAATCTCTCGGTTCAGTGCCACCTCTGCCCTGTACATTTTAACGCCCTTTAATCCTATTAGAAAATTAGCTATTAAGGTTTTGGTACATTCATATCCTTTTTTCAAATAGTCACTTGATGTGACTGCTTGTTGACTGAATTATTGAGCTAGAATGTTATTTAAAAATAAAAAATATATATATATATGGTTGGTTGGCAATGTTATATGCTTTTTCTTTCCTCTTACTTAACAGTTAGCGTATTGCAAAATAGGATCATAGGTAAGTGAAATAGTTTTTCTTATCTTCTCAGTGTCTCTCCTCTTCCTGACTCACTACTTTCTTCTTTCCTCCTCCACTCCCTCCTGAATTACTTGCTGCATTAAACAATTCTTTATTAATTTTGGCCATATTGCCAGGTTCTCCTATTACACATCCTCCTCTTCAAATTTTACAATGTTATGTAATGGGTAAACTCCATGAGATAATTTTGTTGGCTGCTTCTACTTTTGGAATATATAGACCTAATCATAATGACACAGTTTTATTTTTTTTTTAAACTAAATTTTACTATTTTCTGTTTTTCATGTTAGCATTTAAAAGCTTTGGGTTGGTGTTTAAAAATCATACTACCCTTTAAATATTTCTTCAAATTCAATTCCCAACAGTATTCCCAGTGATTTTCTATTTTCCTTTCAATTTTTTTCTTCCTTCCTTTGTTTCTTTTTCTCGGTCACTTATCCTTATGTTCTATTCAAGTCTCGCGTCCTTCGACACTCTCTCTCTCCAAAGGATTAATGCCTGTCTACCCATTTACTGTATATTCTCATTTTATTCTTCATTCTCCTTCTTGAAGCAGCTACTACGGTACTTCCTAGAAATGGGCTGATGACACTGGTGAGACATGGCCATTTGATTTGCTCCTGGAAGTCACAAAGATCAGCTGTGAATGATAGGTTTGTTCTAGGGAGGGGCTGGGGTCTGCCTGACAGCTAGCCTTGGAAAAACGAAGGAAGCAAAAGTTTAGAAGACTGGGCAATGCCAGGCATGGGCAGTTAGAGGAAGAACATGGAAGCACTGGGATGAGGATTGACATGAGTCAGGAGCCAGAGGTAAGGTTCTTGAAGGGGAAACTAAAATTTAAGCAAAGCCTCAGATAGGACAGCATTTCATGTTGCATCTTTTCTAGAAAAGTCTTGCCTGGGATTCCATAGCATGGGCCAGCCCAGGACCTGGATTTAAGGCTTGCAATAGAAAGGCTCACTGCCCCTAGCAGGCCCAGATAACATTTGAAGTAAGTCAAGTGGGGAATTCAGGAGATGGGATAAGCTTAGTACCAGGGAATTTGTTTCAGTGCTTGGTGGAGAGGCTGTCAGTCATGTCCCCAGGCTTGCTCAGCATTGGGGTAAATGATTTCTTCAGAAGCATGGCCTTTTGGAAGTCAGTCTCCTTCTAATCTCTAGTTCATTGCCCACTCTCTCCCTCAAAGCTTTGTATAGGCATCAGCATATTTTAATTTGATGTTTTTATATTTTAAGATTTAATCACTTCTTCTGAATTATGTAAAACAGTGTGTTTCCTTATTGTTTTTCCAGTAAGATAACCCAGGTGTACAAGAAGCCAAAAAAAGACCTTTGACTTAGCATTAGGAATGAATAATAAAGCTTAGATTTAGATTTGGGTCTCCTGAATTATAAATTATGTTCTATTATTATGTTTCAAGTATTTATAATCTACGCACTGAATAAAACCTTTCATGAATTATTTATTATATGCTATATAATAAAAGGCTAATATGCAAATTGACCAAACGGTGGAATGACGTCCACTGACCACCAAGGGGCAGGTGCTCAATGAAGGAGCTGCACCCCTGGTGGTCAGTGCACCAGAAGCCGGGCTCACAGCTGGCGAGCACAGCAGCAGTGGCAGGAGCCTCTTCCACCTCCATGGTAGCACTAAGGATCCCCCAAGGGCTCCTGGACTGCGAGAGGGTGCAGGCCGGGCTGAGAGACAACTTCCCCCCCACCCAATGCACAAATTTTGTGCACTGGGCCTCTAGTTTTACAAATAATTGCATACCCTTGATATCAACATTATCTCTACATGTAATTATGTGAAAAAACAGATTTACTCTAAAGCTTTGTTCAGAGTAGAAACTGTAGAATATGTGTTGAATTAATGAGTAACCTATGAATTACAGGTTAGAGATATCAGATGCAAAATAAGTGACAAAATGGAAGGTTTAAATAGGTCAGGAAAATCTATTTTTTTCCGAATCTGAATGGTGAGATAGAATTAAGAAAACCCAATATGAAAGAAAAAGGCAGCTTTTTGTTTTAAAAAATTTTGCATAGAGATTTTTGAGAATGTCATGAAGGCAATAATTTCCACTTTAAAAAAAATCCTAGAAGGTTAGGGAACCCATGAATTTTAATTTCTGACCCTCCAGAAAGGGAAATTCCAGGTGGTAGAGGAGGAGGGCAGTCAGAACTTCTGACCAGAGAATTGGGGCATCGAGGACATAGTTTATGGCGGTTGCTCTCTAGGAATCAAGGTACAACTTGAATTTGAGGGTTTGCACTTGCTTCCAAAGAAAACCCTTAAGGGGAAAAGTTGTTAGATGGCCTGCAGTCATGCAAGTTGAAATGCGAAAGCAACCAGGTAGATCTTATTAAGATTTGCCAAAAAGCTGATTCTCCTAGAAGCTTAAAAATTGGCTGATTGCCACAGTTTTCTTCCCATATAGAAAATGTAGATTATTAAAAAAAAAACACCAAAACCTCTAATTCCCTGAATTAAAATATTATATATCAGATTATCTCATGTTGGAATAGAGTAATAATAAAAGAAATGCAGTTGGATAATAGTCTAAGATAAATAAATTCTTTAGTCTTTTGTTGATAATGGTATACTTGATAAAAGAGCCTGGTAAGCTTTAGTATATACAATTCTGTGCAGTTTTCAAGTGTTTCCAAATAATTTGTCTTCTATGTTTCACAATGCAAACCTTAGGCTCCAATCTTGATTTTCTGACTTCAGGCTCAATGCCCTTTGCTGTTAAGTTAAAAATGCTTAAGGATCATTGCAATGGGTTAAGAGATTATTGTATATTCATTTCATTAGTTTATAAACTAGAAAATGACCATTCAAAATAAAGAAATTTGTATTTTAAACCTAGACTGATGCTTATACTTACAATAAAAATTCCAGTTTGCTTCATAAAGAACTGTTATCTTCATTAGAAGCTGATGGATATCAGCCGAAACTGGTTTGGCTCAGTGGTAGAGCGTCAGTCTGCGGACTGAAGGGTCCCGGGTTTGATTCCGGTCAGGGGCATCTACGTTGGCTGCATCCTGGTAGGGGGTGTGCAAGAGGCAGCTGGTCGATGTTTCTCTCTCATCGACGTTTCTAGCTCTCTATCTCTCTCCCTTCCTCTCTGTAAAAAATCAATAAAATATATTTTTTTTAAAAAAAGCTGATGGATATCAAATTGGCTCTGGTTTTTGATTTTGGCAGAATAAGTTATGCTTACTGTACTTTTTGGCAGGGTATATTTTGAAAACTGAAAATGTTTTTGATGTGCCTGGTATCTTGTTTTAGTAGTTAAATAAAATATGGTTACATTATTTTAGATAGTAAAAAAAAAAATTCATATTCCTTAATTTGCCAGAGTTTTAAATGTGTTTCATGTCAGTTTTTATGATTTTTAACTTAATATGCACTTTTTATTTTATATTTATTACTCATTTAAATGCTGATTGGCAAATAGTTATTGAGTATCTACTATGTGGCAGATGTTCTTCTAGGCATTGGGATGCAACATTGAACAAAACAAAGTCCAGCTCTCATGTAGTTACATTGATGTTTATGTGTGTATTTGAGAGGAGAAAGATAATAAACATAAATCATATCATCTAGAGACAAGTGCTATTAAGAAAAATAAAGGAGTATAAGAAGAAGAGTGGCAAGGTACTGTTTTAGATCATATGGTCAGGAAAGTACTCATTTCAAATATTTTTCAACAAAGATTCAAAGGAAGTGAGGGAGTGAGACATGGGGATTCAGGAGAAATGTGAATGTAAGGGGAATAGCAAATACAAGGACAAATTATGGAAGTGAAAGTGAAACTGGGGTGTTCAAGAATCAGCAAGGAGCCCAGTGTAGCTGCAGAAGAGTCAGAAAGGCAGGGAGTAGGAGATAGATCAGTGAGAGTGGAGATCAAAGTCTGAAGCTATAGTTCATGTGAGGACACCAAGTTAATACTTCTAAGATCTGGGAAGAGATGACTCAAGGGTTTTCCACAGAAGAATGTCATTATCTGAGTCATTTTACAAAGATCACCCAGTCAGTTTCACGGAGTACATGAAGCACCGGGGGAAAGTGTAGAACCAAAAAGATAGTTTGGGGGCATACTGCCATTATGAAGGATTAACATGGTTTGGACTATGGTAGAAACAATGAGGATGGCAAAATGTCATCAGATTTAGATGTATACTGCAAAAGAGCTGACAGGTTTTGCTGAGCAATTGGATGTAGGATATGAGGAAATGAGTAGAGCTAAGGATGAGTCCAACTGTGTAGTCTGGTCAAGAAGTAAAAATGTAGTTTCTGTTGACTGAGCTTGGGATAACTTCCAGTGAATCAATAATAGTGAGTAAAATCCAGGGCTCTGATTTGAACATGGTGTATTTTTTTTTTTTTTGAGGTGCTTATTAGATGTTCAGTGGAGGAGTGTAGAGTTCCAGAAAGGATGTGGCTGGAGATAGAACTTTGAGAGATATCAGTATATGGATGGTATTTAAAGTCATGACAAATATAACAGATTTTGAAGCTCTCTATTTAGAGATACGTATTATATCAAAAGCATAAAACCTGACTCTAGTTATTGCTTAGTTTGTTTTAAAAGCAAATTAGTTTTATTTGCTTTCCTTATTAAATGTCTGTCAGGATCTTTAACTTAGGTGTCTTTTTTTATTATTCAAATGATAGTCATGCAATGTGGAAAAAGTATTTGAGCATAATGCTTTATTAATTGTGGCTTATTGGACAATAACAATTTTTCTATAGTTTATTAATAATGAAATCTATGTATTACTTCATTATATACTAGAGG